GACTTATTCGCGGTGCTCAGCTTTATTAATCACCCACGAATAACTGTAGCGTTATGCGATGATTTGTTTATTTCTTATTTAAATTTTTTTTTTATTTATTTACTTTAATTAAAATTGTTTTATTTTATTGGTCAGTTAAATATTATTGTGTTTAGAGAAAAGGAAAAGAATCATTCTAACTTTACGTTAAGTTGCTTTTATATTAATGAATATAAATTTTAATTTATTTATTTAAAATTCTTACTTTTATGATTGAAAATTTATTTAAATAATTAATTGATTATTTATTTTTTGTTATTTATTATAGTTTCTTCTTAAATTTAGTAGACCCCTTTTTTTAATTTAATTTTTTTTTTAAATTCTTTGTGAAAGTAATATGAATCATGGATTGAATAAAATAATTCTTTTTATCTTATTACATAAAAGTATTGTTACCTTTCTCTTAAAGATAATTTGAGCTTGGATTTAAATCTTAAGAGGTGATGATGTTTTTGTTTAGGAAATATCCTTGGGAAAGTGTTGCTAAAAGTTAACATAACCAAGAAATAATTTTCCTACTCATCGATTAGTCCATGAATGGTACCTGTGAACATATACTTGAAATTTTCGTATTAGGACAAATTCCTTAATGGTCGGATTCATCAGAAGTACAAGGATAAAAATGTTTGATTTTATCCATGTGCTTAACCATTCGCTTTCCAGACGAAGAATCCTTCACAATGACATTATTTGTGTCCTCGAGGACTTCGACGATTTCTAGAGGTCCGTCATAATAACGATCGAACTTGTTTTTGCGCGGTTCGCGAAGGTACAGAAATTGATCGCCCGGTTCAAAACTCTTTTCGTTCAAGTGACGGTCATAATAATGTTTTGATCGCACTTTCGATTCGGTAAGATTTTTACCGGCTAAGGAACGTAACTCATCGAGGCAGATCATGAGATTGCTTAAATATGTTCCATACGTTTCGAGAACTTCCGAGGATGGAAACGCTGTTGGAAGCCTTGCTTCCTTACCAAAAACAAGACGGTATGGAGAGAATTTTGTTCCTTCATGTACGGATGTATTGTACGATAACATTGCGAAGGGTAAATATTCGTCCCAATTGTCGTCATAATCTTCGAGATAGTGTTTCAGATAATCGGACAATACCTGATGACTCCTTTCAAGACTACCGTTACTCTGCGGGTGATAACCCGAGGTTGTTAGTTGTCTGATTTTAAAGAGCTTTGTTAGTTTTCCTATCAAAAAATTGATAAAACTCGTTCCTCGGTCAGAAAGGATCGCTCTAGGACAACCATACACGGCGATGAATTCTCGAGCGAAAGCATCGGCAATAGTAGTAGCTCTGATGTTTGGTAGAGCAACTGCAAGACAATATTTTGTCAAATTGCACTGCATGGTCAAAATATGACGATTACCATCACGTGTGGGATACTCCTCAATAATGGCCACTCTTTTGTCAGGAGAAGGGGTTGTGATTTTACCTAGACAAAAGGTTACTGAAAGATCGCTTCCAGAGAAAACTCTACGCAATATGTTGCGTAATGCTTGCTCCGGAATACTCTCTCGTGTTCCATCAATTCGAGAAATTCTCACAGTTGTCGAATTCGTTTCGATCATCGCTCTTTTTAACCCGTGGATTGCTGAGTAAACATCGTCTTCACTCAACTGATCGAAATAGTAATCTCGGCAAACTAATCCAAATAGTTTTATTTTCCCGCATTTGGAAACGATAACCGAGCCCTTTCGAGGTTTCTGTTCGCGAAGCATCAATTCATTTACGAATCCTAATTCGGTCAAGAGCCGACCAATCGGCGTGGATAATTTACAATCAGCTGCGATAAAATAAGCGTAATTATCTCGCGACATTAATAAAAAATCATTTGTAGTCTCCACGGATCCGAGAGAAGTCAGTGAAGGGGATAATCTCAATGGTTGTTGTGTGGGCGGGTCAGGAGATATGGTTTCGTACAGTCCGAGTATTTTTGGCTGTTTCTCCTTACCTGCAGGTGCTTCAGAAGTTTTCTCGATTTCATTAATAATCTCATTCCTAATTGGAGGATACGCGATAGGCGTTGATTGCGAAGAAGGGGGCAATCTTGAAAATTTCGGTGTTTGAAAATCTAAAGTTGACCTATTTCCTTCAGGAGTTTTATTCACGCTTTCCTGCAATGCGGTTGTTTCTACCTCGGATTCTGCGCTTGAGTAAACAGATTCGGAATCAGAAGGATTTTTTTCTGGAGGTAGAATAGTGATCGATGGAGTATTTACTTCTCAAACTGTTTTATCGAAATCTGTCAATAAGGTTGCTTCTTCTGAGCACGATGATTGGCTATTGTAACTCGAATTATTATTATTCTGATTCGGCGAAGAAGGTGAAGGAGAAACCACAATGGAATCCGGATCAACCTTGATAGTGATTTCGATAGGTTGAGAAATCGGTTCCCTAAACAAATTTTCGATTGAGACAGGAACATTATTGCTAACTACTTGATCATTATCGCTGGAAGAGAAAGAAGGGACATAGTCTTCGTCGGATTCGTACCAAGAAATTTTCTTTCTCAATGTTCGAAATTTAGTTACGCGTGTCGAATCGGATTCTCGATCAGATGATGAAGACGTTATTTTACGCGCACGTTTATCTCTCGATTCTTTGTAATTAAGTCTTGGTTTTTGTCTATTACGCGATCGAACTCGCTCGCCGATTCCCGCATTATCATTTTCGGAATCAGTACCGGAACTTCCAAGATAAATTTCATTTGCTAAAGCATTTTTCTTTGCTCGGCCACGCTTTTTTCGAGTATCTTCAACATCCAAAGGCAAAATTCTTATTTCATGCACTTGACATTCGCCTTTCTCGTCAGGTGGATTGCGAGAAAGTGCATCTGCGTTTTTGTTTGTTTTCCCACATTTGTATACGATTTCGTATTTAAAATCTCGGAGTTTTAAACGCCAGCGAGTCAAGCGAGAGGACGGATCTTTCACTGAGTAAAGCCACACAAGGGCCTGATGATCAGTAACTATCAGAAAATTTTGTCCATACAAATAATGCCTGAAATGTTTTACATATTCTACTACAGCAAGACACTCACGCTCTGTTGTAGAATAGTTTCGCTCAGCCTTTGTAAGCAAACGTGACGCGTACGCAATGGGCAAGTCGTGCCTAACCTTTCCCTGACTAAGAACAGCTCCAATTGCGTAATCAGAAGCATCAGTAGTCAGGAGAAAAGGTTGCTCAAAATCAGGAAATTAAAGAATGGGAGAGTTAGTTAAAACTTCCTTCATGTCTTCGAAACTTCGCTCTTGCACCTCCCCCCATTCGAATTTCGAATTTTGTTTTAAAAGGTCAGACAGAGGCTTTGTTCTTGCAGCAAAGTCAGCTATGAATTTTCTGTAGTAACCGACCAATCCCAAAAATTCTCTAATATTTTTAGGATTTTTCGGTACAGGGAATTTTTTCACTGCTTCGACCTTTGCTGGGTCAGGACTTACGCCATCTTCCGAAAGAATGTGACCTAAGTATTTGACCTTGGTGGAGAGGAAAGCACACTTCTCCGGTTGCAGGCGAAGACCGGCGGAAGCCAGGCGCGAGAAAAGGCGCCGAGCTTTGCCCGTATGTTCGGCTATACTCAACGCAAAGATGACAATGTCATCGAGATAAACGAACAATTCTGTGCCTTGCAGACCTGTTAAGACGCGATTCATTAAGCGTTGGAAAGTAGCAGGCGCTCCTTTTAAACCGAAAGGCATTCTTAAATATTCATAGTGTCCGTTATTGGTAGAGAACGCAGTTTTTGGGCTGTCAGCGGGATTCGTAGGAATCTGATGGAAGCCGCTGGCCAAATCGAACACAAAAATATTTAGCTTTTCCGATGTTTTCCAAAATTTCCGTGATATTGGGGAGGGGGGAAAGCGTCCCCGATCGTTTTTGAATTTAGCGCGCGAAAATCGATTACTAATCGCCACTTTCGATTGCCCTTAGAATCTGCCTTCTTTGGGACAATCCAAAGAGGAGAATTGTAAGGAGAATTTGATTCCTTGAGCACACCGAGCTCTTAGAGTTTCTTTATTTGCTTTATAACTTCTTCCTTGTGAATAGGTGGAAAACGATATTGTTTCGTTGATAGAGGCACGTCATCCGTAGTGGGGATAGAGTGTTGTTCTAACGTGGTGGAAGGAAACTTATCGCCGGGAAGATAAAACAAATAAGGATATTCTTTTATCAATTCAACTACACTTTCTCTTTCTTCGCGTGGTAAATTTTTTATACCAATTCAATCGCAAATTCTTCGAACTCTTTGTCTTTTTGAAAGACGAGGACCAGTTCAATTTTTCATTACTTTGTCGAGAGGTTCGTCAGACTCGGAGGAAGAATTTTCGTCATACACGTCATAGGGTATGATTGTTTGAGGAGCGACTTGGATTTCGACATCCTCGTAACCAACATTATACGCAACTACATGACATTTGCCATTTTCGTTTGAAACGGCTGCATTCCCTACTTTAATACCTTTCCCGGCATCGAGAAGAGGTAGGAATCCCTCCTTGCAGTCATTATTTATGACGTCAATGGGGATAACCTGTCGTGTACGAGCTTGTATTCTGAAAACCGGTGTTTTTGTTTCGGGTTTCAAATTAACGTTCTGATTTTCATCTTGCGATTCCGACGAGTTAAGAAAAGGGATTGGCGTTATTGGCCTACTAATAGTCACTACTGCTTTGTGACTGTACGATATAGTAGCTTGTTCCTGATAAAAGTATTCTCCTCCGAGAATACCATCGTCGGGAACTCTAAGTTCTATAGGCATTACATGGAATTTAACAGGTGTATCGAAAACATCCAAAATGGCAGTACGGTAGGACGGAATTGATCCATCTGTTATTCCAGTAATGGTGATCGTATCCTGATTATTTATTTCTACGTCATCGGATAAACAAGATTTTTTTATTAAGTTAACCGCGCAGCCCGTGTCGACCAGAAAAATTCCCTTTTGAGATTTCATTTGCCTAATGTTAACCTCGATAGTTGGGCATCGGGTATAACAGTCTTCGCACCTGACGTTGAAGCGGTCACTGCGATTCGTGCATAATTTACAGGTGCGCTCGTCGTCTCGTTGGATCGACGAGCGCTTTGGGAGTTTAAATGTTTTGAGTTCGCGTCAACTTGGTTTCCCTTCTGTTCTTGGTTCACGGGTGAATAAGAACGAGAAAAATTTGACGGCGAATTATTTCTCCTAGGATTCAACGGATTACGGCACCGATAAGTTTCGTGCCCAACGTCATTACAAAACGCGCAAAATGGTACACGGTTCGAGTCCGTTTTCTGTTTATCGTTCCAAGAAACTGTCTTGGGTTTAGGATCATATAATTGATTAGGTTGCGACTTTGAAGCAGGATGTAAGGGGTGACTACGTTCGAGAACGTGCACAGGGTGATCATAACGCTGTGTTGAATCAAAATAATCGAGAGAACGTCGCGGCGACGGTGATCGAGAATAATGATCATACGTGCTACTTTCTCTGCGGCGATTATATGAGTTTGGATGAAAATTTTGTGTTGACGAACGATGTCTTTCCTTTTCAAAATTATTTCCATAAAAATTTTCTCCAAAATCTTGTCCATATGAAGGTGACAAATCCCTACGAGAATACCTAACGGCGGTTTCACGAGTTCGAATTCTATTTCTCGCACAACGTTCAGGCATCAACGATAAGGCGGCTTTGGCACCTCGTACGATATTTAACACGCGCATTCCGTACTGCATGACGCTTTCGTCGGGTAGCATCGCTACTCTCGATAATTCTTGATGGTACACAAGCAAGTGCATTCTGCAGGTATTGGAATAAAGTGTTTGAATCTGGTTGTGTCATTTTGATTTTTTTTCTAAATATTTATCATGAATAGAATAACGACAAAAAAAATAAGAGAATAATTGAACTAAGATATAGAGTTTCAGATTTAATGATTAACGGATTTGTAATTTATTTACTAAAAATAATGGGAACATAAGAAAGATAATTTTTTTTCAAAAAGGTAGCAGTTCTCTAATAAAGAAAATGATACTCAAAATATCGATTATTCTACAATTATTTGAAATAAATGCGCTAAATCATTGCATCTACAAATATGTGGTTTTAGTTTTTCCTAATTAGAAATCTAACACTCATATTAAATTCGAATACCATTGGAAGCACACAATAAATAGATTGGAAACGAAAGTCAGCACATAGAATAAAATCTTTAAAATTAGAAATTTTAAGATTTATATTATTATCAAAATAATATTATATAATCAATAATAGTAGTATAAAGATAAAGTATTATTAAAATAGAGAATAATTATAGTACAGTTATATTAAAATGGTATAGTTAATAAAAGTAGATGAAAGAAGAAAAAAAATAAGATTGTTAAGAACAATCAAGGTAAAAGAGAATTTAAGAAATTCTTTAATAACAATAAGTAGTCAAACAGAATCCCACCGCTGCCACCAAAAATATCTTATGTTACGACATGAGATATCGTGAAAAAGATAAAACTTGTATAATAAAATATATATACTAAAGAGATTTAATAATTTGAATAATTATTAAATTTCGATTTCTTTTTAAAGAGAAGTTCACAACAAAAAAAGAGAAGTAATCTGCCTATTTAAAAGTGAATTTAAATTGTAAGAAAATTATGTCTATAATCTCGAGCGGCAAAAATTATAGATCGTGGGATCTTGTTTATTTTTAAGAGTAGAAACTCACCTTATTGTTATTAAGGAAAAAGGAAGGAAAAAAAAGAAACTAGATAGTTAAAATCTTGATTTATTACACAACTTACTAATTTCTTATATGTTGATTAAATATCCAAAAGTTTGTCAATTACACACCAGTCAGTAAAAAATTCACAAAAGATAATGAGTTAATTCACGAATGTCTTTAAATGCTTTAATTATTTTAAGTTCACACTGTTTTTGTTTTCGCGATTGAAAATAAAATAGACAAGATAGTAAAATAATTATTATTATTTTTTTTTTATCGGGTATTCCGGAAAAATGAAGTTTAGTTCCTAGCTCGTTAAATTAACCCGAGGATTTATTCGTTTAGAAGAATTCGCGTTTTCAGTCACGAAGACTGCGAAAACTTAAAGTTGAACCTCGAAGGTTTATTTTAAACAAGGAGGGAACCAAAGTCAAAATATCGCGGAAGAAGCCCGAAATGGAACTGAAGTGTTAAGGGTAAAAAGACGCTCTCGTTACCCAAGCCATTTCCTCCCACTCTCAAGAAAAGTGTGCAAAAATTTTGGGTAGGGGAAATTTTGGGAAAACTAGGTGGTTGATTGGATTTGGTGAAAATCAGGCAAAAAACAGTCAACGCCCTAGACAAAAAAAAACCATGAGTCGTAGACCAGCGGTCCAGGTACCTCCTGGGTTAAGTGCAATAAAACATTTGGCAAACAGCCGTTTGTCGAACGTGCGTAGCTGAATCTTCTCGGGATTAGCTAATTGCACTTTTATTGCTAGGTTCGACAGCACTTAACCAAGTATCGGATTTTGCTCAAGTTATAAAGTTTTTATGTACATACTTCCTCTTTGGGCCTTATCTTCACAGATGTTGGACCATACTAAGAGTAGAAGTGAAATGTTCAAAAATGTATTGTTGTTTGGTTTTCTAGGCACATTGCTATTGAAAGCCGTTTCAATTTCTTATAAACTTTTATAGGTAGGTTTTGGGAAATGAGAATTTTCGCACGCCTCCCCCAAGAACAAGAATAAAAAACCTGAGGAACCAGATGTAAATTATTTCCCTTTTACTTCTTAAAAGATCGTGAGAAAGTATAAAAAAACTGTTTAAGATAGATATAAAATATAAGTATAAAATGTCGATGTAAATGTCGTTGTTAATAATATAGAAATTAATATATAGTTAATAGCATAATAATGAGTAGTAATGGTTAATTATATAGAACATTCAAATAGGATAAAATTCAAACAATATAGATTATATATATATAGCAATCAAACATTTATACTGGTATAGAGACTAAATTAAAGAACATTCTGCATCCCTCATCCTGAGACAAATTAAATAAGAAAAACGTGTGAGTCTTACATCTTGGGACGTCACAAAAGAAAGTCGAATTTGCAATTTAGATCCTTTTTTGAACAAAGACAATATTTTATGTGTAGGGGGTCGTTTAAAAAATGCGAGTATTTCTTTTAATGCTCGTCACCCCATAATATTGCCAAAATCAAACTTTTTAACCGATCTTATTATTCAACATTATCATTTAATACATTATCACAGTGGTATACAGACCACTTTGTACACTATACGACAAAAATATTGTCGAAATCAAATAAGAAAAATAATTCGTAAATGTGTACCTTGTTTTTGCGTAAAACCAAGATTCGCTGATTATAAAATGGAAAACTCACCAAGCGCACGTGTAAATAAAACGCGTCCATTTAATTGTGTGGGGATTGATTACTGTGTTCCTTTTTATATAATGGAACGTAAGTACAGAAATTTAAAAAAGATAAAAATTTATGTTTCTGTTTTTGTTTGCATGGCAATCAAAGCAATTCATATCGAAGTTGTAAGTGATTTGAGTACGGAAGGTTTTTTAGGTGCCTTAAGAAGATTCATTGCAAGTCGAGGGAAACCTCAATCTATATATTGTGATAACGGTACAAATTTTCAAGGCGCTAAAAATGAATTAAATGAGTTACTTGTTCTTTTAAATTCAGATAAATCTAAAAATGATGTTTACAATTTTTCAACCAATAATGGTATCGACTTTCACTTTATCCCACCCTGTTCTCCTCACTTTGGAGGTTTATGGGAAGCTGGGGTAAAATCGTATAAACAGCATTTCAAACGAGTAGCTTCTAATTCATTATTAACATTGGAAGAATTCAATACTCTTTCTATAGAAATAGAGTCAATTTTGAATTCAAGACCATTAACACCTATTTCCACAGACGTAAATGATCATACAGTATTAACACCTGGACACTTTTTGATTGGCGATTCATTAACAAATTTACCTGAGCCTGATTTTACTCCTCTACCTTCTAATCGTTTATCAGCTTGGCAATTAATTATTAAAATACGTCAAGATTTTTGGAGAAGGTGGAACCTTGAGTATCTAAATAAGTTAACAGTTCGCCAAAAATGGTGCACAGATACTATCAATCCAAAAGAAGGTTTGTTAGTAATATTAAAGGAAGACAATATTCCTTGTATGCAATGTCCGTTAGCAAGGATTCATGCAGTACATTCTGGAAATGATGGTGTTGTGCGTAGTGTGACATTAAATTTGTCAAATAAACTTTTAAAAAGGCCTGTTAAAAAAATTTCAATTTTGCCTATAAACTATAATAATGTTGAGTGAATGTTGCTCGTTAACTCCCAACGGGGGGAGTATGTTTATGATTATTATAAAGACAAGGAATTATTAAATGTAAAAGAAATTAAACTATATTAAACGTAATTATATTAGTTAACAAATTTGCTTCTCAATACTTATTTTTTGTATTTTTAAACATAGATATAAGATAATATATCATTTCTTCAAATTATTGATATTAAGCTTCAAATTTCATTGTACACGTGCGTTTGACGAATTGTCCCTCCAAAAGTTCTACACTGGAGGAGAAAGATTTTTGTTTATAATATCCCTTCCTACTAAAAAGATACTCTGAATAAAGGAACCTCTGAGGAGACACTCTTGTAAGAAAGACTTCAGTAGCACTTGAACCAATGTATATAAATGTATGTTTGAAAATTTACATTATTAAAAAGTTTGATTAATTTTTTCTAAATCATTATTAATTGATCATTTAAACCCTTTTTACAAACCATACTAAATAATCTTTCCAACGATTAACCTCGATGGAAAGGTACTAAATAAAAAATTATTAGTACACCTTTAAACAGTCTTTTACTATTTTTATATATGCTTTAAAATTGAAAATTTAAACAAAATCAGCGGTTTACGTTTTAACACTATAAGTTATTTACTTTTCTTTTATTAAGCGATATTAATTTTCCCATAGCTGATTTTACTTTAATATATGTGCAACATTAATAAAAAAAATTAAAACCTAAAAAAATTCCCTTTTTTTATTTTATCTGCAATTTTTTAACGTGCAAATTATTAATTTTTTTGTCATGGACGAGTTTGGTTTTCATCCACCACCAAACGTCACGTCCAAATGAGACAAATGAGATGTCATTTTGTTCAGTAGAATGTGCACTTTTGTCTTAGCATACACAATTTTTCACATTTTCAACCTCTTCACTGCCACTGACCTCTATAGCGGCCCAAAAATGTCGTGCCCTGTATGTCCAGGACCGTTATAACGCATCCAAAAAAAGACATTGAAATGTTAATGAATCTAATTAAAAATGCCTACTCGGGGGTTTTCGGGGTCGTTGATTCCAAATCCATGGTCGAAAATTCAAAATTCAAAATGGCGGCTTCAAAATAGCACCAAAAAAAATGTTGAAGTTACGAATTCGTTAATTTAAAAATTTTTTAGGCCACTATTTTGAAGCCAAATTTCAATTTTTGACTACGAATTAAAAGAATAAAATATATTTTTCTTTAATATTTATGACAAAAAAACTTCATTTTAATTGAACTGCACAGTGGGCCAGAAACCTCGTTTGAATGGCCAAAATACAATTTTTTAAAAGTAATTTAAATAAAATATGCATAACCCTATCTTATGCTATATGTTTTTATACAAAATATTGTGTCATTGACAATTTTTATTTATACATTTTTTTAGAGAAAGTTTGAAGATTAAAATTGTATTCAAAATACTAGATGTC